AAACATTATTTTAACTATATTTAGTCAAAGTTTCTTTAAGGGAAAATTCCTGGTCAAACAGTAATTCAACTTGCTTTAAAGAAGATGTCTGCAAACAAAAGCAAGAAAACGTTGCTTTATTGCTATCTTAATAGAACGTCAAAGTCCATAGCCCATCATTAAAATTGGTAGCACCTGTCAATATGATACCTTGTAGGGTAATAAATATTTTTTACTATACAAAAGCGTTTTTTCTGTACCACGGTCTTGTTATTTTGTACTTTTTTTCATTAACAAATGTATGATTTACATATACAGTCGTGGACAATGTTTTGTTTGCAACGTGAGGCGCAAACAAGGCCGAGAGCTTTGTATGTGTAAGTGAATATCTTGTTGTAACTCTACAAGATGCGTACACCACTAAGGGCTTATGAGCTTGTAGCGCATTGCTTGTTGAGTGCTGGCCGTGAGCCAACGAGGCCCCAGGTGGCACGAGTGCGAGAACCAATGTAGATTCAAGTTCAGGTGGGCACTACCACTATTCAGATATCCGCTACTTCGGTGGGGCTTCTAATGAGACCATGATGTCAAACCAGCGGACCTCTAAAAGCTGTTGGCTATGCTCATTGACCACATTGCTCACAAAGTTTTGTCAGCGACTGTACACCCTTATGGGTGCTGTTCGGCACCCGTTAGTTGTAGAACCCTTTTTGCACCCTAGTTTACACACTTTTGATGTATGCACCATGTTGATTTTGTTTGTAAGGTGCTGAGGCGCGAATAGTGCTCAAAAGGTGTGCTGTAGGGTGTCGCACCCTTTTTTTTACACCCTTATGGGTCCAAATTGGCTGAGCGTGTAATCTACGCCTGTCTGTCTCTCGTCTATATTTCGCACGAAAAGCTTCCGTAAGAATGAACCAACTCAACAAACAAGTCACTCTAATGAAGACGACTTCCTACAATCGGCAAAGTGCTCGGACCGTGGTCCCATCCTAATACCAAAGTCCCTGAGTGAGTGTTCTTTGTGATTTCTTAAAGGAGACAATTTAATTAACTGTCTGTACTTTTTATTACTCGGTTTCATAGTGTTGAGTGAAAAATAAGCACTTCTCATAGTGAAGACGCATGTTAGCGCACAAAAATATTATGTAGAGACTCTATCCGGCATATTACTATGCTGTATCAATTGGACTATGCCCCTAGGCATAGTCCAATTGCATGTTTGCATAGTCCATAGGCATGTTTTATACGCTTCATATTGCACATATTACGATAGTGATGCTTATTACTCTTTCTTCGTTTATTTTTATTCAATTCGTTGTCGTTTTGTGTGTCGTTAATATTACTACTATGATGTTAAGATAACCTGCGCTGATGTAGCCTATCTTCCCCTATTTTTTCATGCATAAATACAAACGAAACCTTCAAGTTCAAAAGGAGAGCTGAATGGACGTTCACGCTGCAACGCTAATTTATCTCTACATTGTTTAAGCAAGTGTTCCGTCCTTCATTAGCACACCTGTGGGTATTTATATCGTTCTGCCAGGAGAATGGATTCGTGCTGAAAAAAGAGTAGCCAGCGCAATTTACAAACGCCAACAGCTGCTGTCAAACTTTTAAATGGGTAAGGAATTGTGTAAGCATACGCATAAATTTACTGGTCGGCTTTCATTCATGTTCGCACTTCGCATTATTTGCTGACAACAAATTTGTCCACAGAAAAATTTTATTTCTCTCAGCCTTTCATTTGTTCGATCGAAGCACCTTGCAAGTACGTCAAAAAAAGCACCGAATTTCTCTCAGAGTACTTTTGAGGCCCCTATCACCAAATATTATAAGATATTTATGTGTGTGTGCAGGAATAAACGCCCACATTAGCCACTTATTGAATCTGTGATACTGCTTCCATTAAACAATTGAATTCTTTGTGTATATTGCTCTGTTCATTTTTCTACTCCAGTGCCGTTAAATACTTAGTCCATTCAATTATCCATATGGCGTCACCCTATTTTTCGCGCTAGTAGGAACGAAGAAACTATTTGAAGAACAAGTTGTGACACATATTTCTATTTTTCGGTCAGCGTAATCTGAAAAAAAAATTTAAAAATTGTGGAAACCTCTTTACAGTGATAGGTATAACACTAAAGTGTAAAGTGTCTTCACAAAGGTAGTTGAGCATTTATCGTGCATTGTTTTGCCAAAAAGGCAAAGGAATGAATGCTCCGGTACAAATTGCATTGTCACAAGGATAATGGCAAGCAGCTCGAAACTTCTAGCGCACAGCTGAAGCAGTAAGCATGCGCGAAGTGAGCATACACAGGACGAGCGCAGACAAACATCTGTCACAGCTGGACACTTAAAGCACGTTGCTGAAAGAAAAAGAAAGACGCACGAAACGACAACAGCAGTTTACACCTGGACGAGCTAGAACAACTGTCACAATCCTTCGTGTGCAAGCAGCGCGTTCCTTTCATAAACGTGGCAGCAAGCCAAGGAACCTTCTTACTATCTTTAAATGGTTACTCTAACTTCAAAGCATACTTGCGGTGGAAGCACAAGAGGTACGAATGGACTGTATCCTGTGTTAGCGCTCGCGCCAGTGAGGAACCACGCCTGAGAACATCTATACACACTTTGACCACGCCATGTGGAGGTGCGCGCGCATACCTATAGCAACACGTAGGGTGGCATGGGGTGAAGACCTTTAGAGCACGTCTGCCTAATGATATAGGGGCTTTATTTACCATGTACTCATCGCCCCTTCTCACTACTGATGACGAAAATGCGCCGAAGTTGCTCAGCTGTGAGGGTGGCTGACGGTACATTGTGTGTATAAATGGCTCACCGTTAGCAAGCTGAGCATTGTACGCTCCGTAGCCTAGTGGTTAGCGCCGCACGCTGCATATTAAGAAGTCGCTGGTTTGACGATCCGCTAGGGCACCTTTCCTTCTCGTTTTTAGATGAGAAGCTTCTTGTGGTCGAGCTTGATTTGGTGTGTGGTGAGACCATCCTTACAGCGCATGTGCCCCTTCTCTATTCTCTTATCCTACGCTCACTTTCTCTCTTACCTCGCAATGCTGACGCAGGCAGTGTCTGCTAGCCTACTTTCACTCCCCCTCGTCTCTCCTCTAGGCATCCCTCACCGTGGCTTTCATTCCCCCATTGCGCATGCGAGTTGTTCTCTCTCTCCTTGCCTACGCTCACCCCTCTCCCGCCTCGCAACGCCGACACAGGCAGCGTCTGCTAGCGAGTTTCCCGATTAAAAAAAAGGCGAGTTCTCACGCCGCACAACCATTAATGGCTACCCCGTATATATAGCCAGTGAACCTTCACCTTCAAGGTATTGTCAGCGGGAGATATCTCCTGTGAGCTGTTGAACAAAAAAAAAATCGTGTGTGCGCCGTAACTAAATGCAAACTGCGGGTTTATATATTCAATAGAGTGTTCTGTCTTTTGTTCATTAGCGATGATTTGCATGTTTCAGTAGGAAACGCAGCTCCATCACTGCGTGCTTTGCGCCTCCGCAGGTTTCTCTCCTGCACAATGCCGTGCTGAGCGCTAGCGTGAACGCCTCCGCCACTGTGAGTGTTAGTGCCCGCTGCTTCACTTTACACAAGGTGTCCTTTAGCAGGAGATGTATTGTTTCAACTTTGCAATCTGTAAATATATTTTTACAGCATTATATTCGTGACGCAAATATGCCAGCGGAGCCATGCTGGACTCCACCATAAAATAGTTTTTGTTAAAAAATAAAGAAAAAGTGGGCCCTATAGGTGCAGGTGGTGACCTTCTTCTATACGCATTCCGAAATTAGCGCTTTTTGAGAGCCAATACTCGGTAAAATCACTTGCTGCACCGGTACACAATCAACCAACGGCCTGGATAGCCAACCTGGTCATTGGCTATCCAGGCAGTTTGTTGACTTCTTCATGAAACAAAAAGACCTGATCAGACGTGCACCTCTTTCACTTCATCATTATGTGTATATTGACTACACTTTAACAAGACAGTACTCGTAAATGCATTCAAAAGGCGACATGAGATTTGTAATACATTGTTGCCCATTGTGTAGTTGTTCAGGCGTCGCCGTAGATTAGCTGCAATAATGTTACTATACTGAGTATGGCGTAGCTGGAATGAATCTCCACCACAACGTCCTCATCTTGATGACAGGAAAACTTAGCGTATTATCGACTTCCGCAGAGACAAGGTTTATTCACCTTACCTCACTATGACGTCTTTCCTAACAATGCAGAAATCCTACATGGATCGTAAATTTTAAATTCTTGTTTGAGGCAAACTTTGTTTGGACTTGCCGAATGTTGAATGCTGCGAGTGTGGGTAGAGCTAAATGATCTGCAACATCCCCTCCCCCCCTCCCCCGCCTGAAGTGCACAGCACTTTAGGGAGCCAGGTTTTTGTATGCTGATGTATTCTGTGATGATCACTGCGTTTAACCAATGCAGACTAAACCACGTGTATAACATAGCCTACTAGTGCTTGCTTCCTCCAAAGAGGTGTTCTTGTTGTTTTTCGAGCACCTTGATGGTGATTTTAACGCTTCTTTTTCTTTACGTTCTTTGGGAGCCTTGATCATAATACTAACGCTAGCAAACTACATATAACATCGCCAATTGTAGCACATTAAGTGCTATCTCATGCCAAAGAGAAGTCTGTTTTGTTTTTAGAGCTCCTTTATGATGATGTAAAAGCGCAGACGTCCCTACGTACACTTTGGCTGGTGAAACACGACAATACAAACTACGAATGAAAATTGAAAGAGGCAGCAAGTAAAAGATAATAGAAAGATGGGCAAAGAAGAACGAGAGAGAAAAAACCGAAGAGAAACAAACACAGCCTAACTCTTGGCTTCCTTCAGTATTGACACCACTTGGGCGAAGCTGGCTAAATTCTTTCCCCCTCCTTTCGGAGCTTTGTTTTTACATCGGCAGCCGCACGTGGTGGCTTGTTTCATCCTGTTTTCACGTAAGAAGTTTTTTGAGAACGAGGAAGCGCAGAGAAGCTCGACAGCCGTTCCTTTGGCGTGTTGCTGTCTGCGTCAGAGGTACACACGTATGTGAACTTGAAGATGCCAGTTTCTGGACCACGGACAGCCAGTGTTGCGTCCTCGAACACCCACCCAGGCGTTTCTCCCCTTGACATGTTTTCCACCGACGAGAGCCTGTGGTTCAACGGGAGCTTTGCATTGCTTTTAGCCTTGATCGCAAGCCTCGTGTGCGCCTTCTTGCGGCACCGTACAAGGGCATCTGAAGAGAAGAAAAGGGTATGAATTTGTGTTTATTCCATAATTTTTATCGCAAATTGCTACCTATTTACACACGTCATGCCACAGATGTAGTAATTTTTGACCTTGAGAAGTGTGTGTTTGTTTCAAGTATCTCAACGTATCAATAATTGAAGACGAATCAAAGCACGCTTTAAAGATAGAATGAGTGATAATTAAAAAACGACAAAAGAATACAAATGTATGTAGGTGTACATATGTGCCACACGCATGTTACAGATTATCGTTTAAAAGAAATAGCGGATAAGGGGTTGAGTACAGGCGCGAAGGGGTAGCGTTGGCATAGTTGAGCGACAGAGTGAAGAAAGGCACAGACATTCTAGGTGCATACAAACCTCACGTTAATATTCTTGGCTGGAACACCACACCATGCCTCTGTTTCTTTTATCGTGACTGACCGCTTGCATGCCTATTGTACTGGTGTGTGACCGATGGCCGCGCTGCGAACTGCACTTGTATGACGTCAATTTGGAGATTCCCGCACTCTGTATTACGGCCTGAAATTGTATCGAAACCAACGTGCGTGATAAGACTCGACCAAGAAGCAGTTCAGTTGGTTATCTGATGTGTGTTGGACACTGACGCTGGTCGATCAACCATGGGTCTCCGCTTTTAACTCAATTTAAAAGCACATCGCTTTGTTTTGTAGAACTGCGTGCAGCCAATTCTATCCGCGGCGAGTGCGGCGTAATGTTAAATAATAGATACTAAAAGTTATTCATCAACTTTGTTAACTACATTACAATGTAATCTTATTGACCTTCCCACGCTCCTGTTTAGGATATGAATTTGTACTCCCGCTCTCCAACCCGCAGTATTATCTTGTAATAGAAATACAATATTTACAGCTGTGAAATATTTGTGGTCTTTTTTGCAAATATTCCATGATTAGGTTAGAAGTGGTGGCAACATTCAATTGTTGCACAAGTTTGGAGTTATAACTAGGTTAATAATTTAGAAACATTAACACAATGCAACTTGTGGGATGCGCTCGACAGCAAGTGAAGACCAGCCGTGAACATAACTTCTATGTTAGGTTGCTCAATGAAATCGCCTCAACACGCTTCACACATGTTAAGTAACAGGCGTAGAAATTGCTTCATCCGGATTTTCCGATCAGCGAGCATTTGCCACTTTGCCACTGTAGATTTCGATGGAGACGTTGTGTGGTGGGACCGCAACTCCACTTGTTTGCAGGACGAGAGCCGCGATGGTGACGCGGTCTCCGTTGACAGCTTCAACAGTGCATTAAACAACGTAGCCGGCGTCATAGACCAGTTCGCCCTCGATCAGACACCGCTACGTTTCGCAAGGTTTACATATTTTTAGACGCTAGAAAAAGGAACAATTCCTGGAACATAAAAAAACATCCCAAAAAGTTGCAGCTTTCCCGCAACGGCGAAGCAATACACGCGATAGCAACAAATCGGAAGGACACGCGAAGAATGGCAAGCAGATTGAAACGTGCCCCGCGTTTCTCACGCGAAAATGACGTACGAAATGTGATCACAGGTAAACATGAAAGCGAATAACTTATGACAAACGGCACAGAACCTGCAAAACGTGCATAGCCGCTAGATATTTAGATGTGTCTTAAGGTGGCTATGTATACTCGTACCCACGTAACCAAGTGCAGTTCGCTACTGTGGCAGGGGTTATTGCACAAAATAAGTTACACAGAAAGGGTGAAGCAATGAATGTGATAGGGGTGAATCGCAATGTTATACGAAGTGAGGCTGGCAGTCAACTCATTCAAATCCGATGTAACGTCACTCTTCAAAACTCTGGTGTAAGAGAACACGGCCGCTCCTGGTACTGTCTTGGCACCGTTTTTTCGTGTTGAGAGTGCAGCCTATAGAATTTACCGCCTGCAGTTGGGGCACAAGACGCGCGCTGATCATTGCCATGGTGGTGCGGCAACCATAAGCGCCTCCTCTCTCCCCCTCCCTTGTTCGCTCACTAGATAAGCGTGTGCGCAGATGACCATGGCCGGACAGGCAATGTTCGCCCTGCAGAAAGAGGAGGATGGCACATACTTCCCTATAGATATACATACATACATATACTTATCCGTGAATGACCATGGCGATGGCAAAACACCAGCGAAAACTGTCCATACAACTGCTATCGCAATAAAACTTAGTAGGTATCGTATGTATCGTATCGCGGAAAGTGTTATAACGAGCGATAACACAAACACACACATAGTTTCACTTGCTGACCCACAATGCGGTCGCTGGCTGCGGCGCACTCGTCGGCCATCTGGGGGCCTCCTGGCCCTGTGAATAGGGGCGCAACTAAAGCAACATTATAATCTCACGCGAAAGCAATCGTCAGAGGCGTTCATTGAGCATCGCAAGGCTGTTAGTTTGACGAAGTTTTCGTCTGCAGAAGACGATCTGCCTACAGGAGCTGCGGCGACTGCAGCGTGGTTGAAAGTGTAATCCTCAAATTGACACGGCACGTGTGAAGGCACCACTCCAAGATCTCGAGACCAATACAAAGAATTTCGAGTCCCCGAGCAGATACGGAAAATAAACAAAAGTTAAATGTACGCCCTCCATTGGCACTCGTTTAGAAGTTAAAGAGCCGCCAATAATTCAACCACTTAATGATATGAAACCAACGGCATTCGCCCTTTGTTAAATAAAAGGCAAGCGCTATAAAAAAGCAAGCCTGATAGTGACAGTCCGCGTAGATTTGTGGTTTCTTCTACAAGCAAACTTGTTCGCGAGAATCTAGCGCGTTGCATTTTTATGTTCTCTAGCTACAACGTGCAAGGTATAAAACGACTACGCTTTGGCAGTGAAGAGCGTCTCGTTAACGTGCATCTGTTATGTCGCGCCTGTCGCAATACCCTGCAGTGTAGCTTCTATTTCAGTCATCATTGCATATCAACAAGTGACGAAGATCGGTAAATATCCTGATGTCTATACTTTTTTTGTTTTTGTGTCTTCAAGACCTCACTAATTTGGCCGCTAGCTTGTACGTTTTGGAACGAAGTGTGAATGTAAACATTCGAACTGTTGTTGAACTGATATAGCTTTTTCTTTTTATCTTTCTCTACCCACGCCTACACTCTCACAAAAAATGTCTCAGTTTACAGATGAACTTGCTGGTAAATCGGTGCCGGAGGATCTCTTTTATTAAAGGAAAGAGCAGGCTTTGTTTCACGGAAGCTCTGTAAATTTATTTTCTCCATTGCCACACACAGCAAGATTTTGTTATTACGTGTATGCCATTTTCTGTTCCTAACCACGGCCACTCTGGTATCCTTAACGAAGCGTGACTCTGTAACTCGGAATACGACATTTTCGTTGTTTGAAAAACAAAAAAGGGGTTGCCTGAGAATGGGCTGCCCGTAATTTATTTAGTTAATAAATAAGAACACAAGCTTTCAAATCTCCTGTTCTCTTAAAGGAAAAAATTTGACACAGTACGAAGCACAGGAATAGAGCAACATAATTTTCTTTTCTAGTGTTAGAGGGTTTTTAAGGGTCTAAAATTTTCCTTCAAGTGCTGTGCCAACTATGCCAGCAACAAGTTCTTCGAGGTACTGATGTCAAAATTTCTAATTCTCTTTGCATTTCCTTGTCGTGACTCAGAGTGGAGAACAGGTGGTTCCCTTCAATAGGCTTATCTGTACTTGACTGGGCAGTTTATTTTTTTTTTATTTCAAAGGAAAGGTTTGCTGCACAGACTATAAGGTACAGTTAGTTTTGTAGGTAACCCAATTTGCAAAAAATGAACGGAAGCTTTTGTTAAAATTGTGGGCAGGTGTGGAACAGCAGTAGTGTGAAAAGCTGATGTTTTATAGGACAGCTTATGCTTTTTATATTTTCGAAGTAGGGCGTTTCATCATATTCAATATACACACCGAGAATTGATGATGTTCCATATTGCATGGGTGTTTGTACGTTTGACATTGCTGTTTCAACTTACAGTATAATGCTGTTTGTATGTACTATGCATACGCCACTCCTGCTGCGGCAGGCTAAATATATAATGGCGATTTATTCAACAAAACATATCTTAACTTATTTGCACACAATGAACAGATGTTGTTAATCACCTTGTTACATTTTGAAGGTCCTCAGACTGCTACTTCAGCACTTCGTTTACTCCTGAAAGAAATCTGACAAATAAAAAAGTGATCCGAAAGTTTCCGTTGAGCAATAGCGTACAAACTTGTGATTCTCGGCATATGTATATGGCCCTTGCTGCGCACATTACCATAATTCCACAAACCAGGGACACTGTGCTACAGGCATTGCCCGACTGACTCTGCTCACGTTCACAGTTATCAGCATCATTTTCATAAAACAGCATGCGCCAAAGACCATCATTGTGTGTGTGTGTGTGTGTGTGTGTGTGTGTGTGTGTGTGTGTGTGTGTGTGTGTGTGTGTGTGTGTGTGCGTGCGTGCGTGCGTGCGTGTGTTGATTGATTGATATGTGTGAGAGACGCCGTAGTGGAGGACTCCGGAAATTTCGACCACCTGGGGTTCTTTAACGTGCACCCAAATCTGAGCACACGGGCCTACAACATTTCCGCCTCCATCGAAAATGCAGCCGCCGTAGCCGGGATTCGAACCCGCGACCTGCGGGTCAGCAGCCGAGTACCTTAGCCACTAGACCACTACGGCGGGGCTGTGTGTGTGTGTGTGTGTGTGTGTGTGTGTGTGTGTGTGTGTGTGTGTGTGAAGCGACCAGTGCACGAAACAGATCAATGCAAAAAAAAACACTAACTAACAAGCAGTGCCAGCTAGCGTTTTGTTTGCTTGTGTTTTGTTGCTCCTCGCATTATTTCTGTATGCTGCTTAGCCCGGGCCCCACGTGGTCGAGTTGTCGACCTTGGTGCTCGTACAGCATAAGCAGCTGTTCTGCCGAACTATACAGGCTCAGGGTACATCTTCATTTATATCAGTGCATTAAACTCTTTGTTTTCCCGACAATATCAGTGTACACAGCGGTCCTCTGCAAATTGGAAGATTGAAGCGCGTCACGGTTACTCGGCACTGCAACGGCTGTAAACACCTTTGCGCAAGCCCTGTTCCTTATTTTACAGTTGTATTGATGACTGCTTGGGTTTAATTATGGCCACCAAGGCTTCGTTAACGTTCACCCAAAATTTGAATACACAGGAATTGAGGATTTTCATCTCCATTCAAAATGTGGCCGCCATGGCTGGGATCTATTCCCACGAATGTCGGGTCAGCAATTGAGCACCATAACTACTACACCGACGCAGCGTTTGAATTCGATGGCAGACCGGGCACCGGTATTCGTCTAACGTAAACGACAAACACGAAGTACAGGAGATGGACTCGCCTGTATTCATGCAAAACACTCTTCTTGTACACCATGTTGAATAAACTAGAAGTATACAGGTGCGCTCTTACATGATACACGAGAGGGCCAGCGAAGGCCAGAGAGAGAGAGAGAGAGAGCGAGCAGCGCACACGCGCCGCTTTTTTTATAACCCCCGGTCCGTGAACACGCCCGTGAACACGTCCGTGAACACGCCTCAGCGACGCCGATTCGCGTTCCCTGCAGTGCACACAGATACCGCTCGTGTTTCTGCAGGACGCGTACTGCGCTTGGACGGTATGCCAATGAGCGTCCCTGGGAGGCCATGTCCTTGCTCTGCCGGTCATGACAGGACGTTGGGTGCTTCGGAAAAACGCATACAGAAACACACGTGTGCACGAACGGAAGACATAGCAGCGCAGGGCGCACCACGGAAGGCACACTTTCAGCGCACGAACGTGTCACTCTACAAAGGTTTGACGACGAGGAAAGAGCAGAAAGTGAGAAGTTCACCGAAGCCAGCAATAGTGCTGTACGGCTGCCGTGTGCGTCCACATTTCGTTTAGCAGTAAAGAGACCAGTACATACAGTGATAACACCTGACACAAGAAACAAACGCCCACGAAAAAGAAAAAAATGACAGCATATCCCCGGGGTGAGTGGTGGAGAGTGGGGCGAAGCATCCCATCCGTCCATTGGTTCTTGCTTCCGTCGGTCCATGCATCTGTCTGGGTAACCGTCCATGCGTTCATCCGTCCGTTCAGCCATCCGTGCATCCGTCCATGCATCTGTCTGTGTGTCCGTTCGTCCATCTAGTCAACACTCCAAGAACCACCATCTCGCATCTTTTCATCATATATTCCGCATATAGAAGCACCACCATCCAGCGGACATTACAAGGACTAAACGAGAGTTGGCACACGCACACTTTCTTACTGCTTGCGCTTCTTGTCTACTTACCACCTTTGACCACCCCGAGTTCATGGTATATACTAGTTCACTGTATTCATGGCACTGCGGCCCAACGCTCGCTAAACATTTCTAAAACCTAGGAGGTTACGCACAGCGAGTATAACCTAGCAACCCTTTCTTGTCAGATAGTGTGCAATGTGCATGCCAGTAGCTGCTAATTGGGAATGAGAGACAGAAGAATTCGGCTTTTAGTTAACGCGCACGCTCCGAATTCTTTATTGTTCAACAACGCACAGGAGAAATCTCCCACCGGCACCACTTTGCAGATCAGAGCGTAAGACTGCTTACGCACTCCGACTACGACGAGGGACGAACGGGTGCCGCTTTAAGGAGCTTCACCCTTAAAAATACAAGCACTTGCTTGCAACATTCGTGATGACAGGATCACTGACCGCCAGCAATGGCGCACAGTCTACCGCCACGGCATGGGGAAGCCTCGACGTGTCTATTTTGGAAAGCATGCAGCCGCTTTCTCCGGGAAGAGTCCTGGCTAACCCACAACGTGCGGGCGGCATCTTTGATAACACAGCGCCTAAAAACAATCACAAGTTAACGAATCGCTACGCGCGAACAAGAACCACAAAATATCGCACGATGTCTCACCACCGCCGCCGACGAGTCCTTAAGTGTAAATGGCGTTGCTTTTGGCTTCCCGGATGCTAGCGCACCACGTCACAAAATACATCAGCTTGACGCATAGAGTTTCCCAAAATTAACTAGAGGAGACTCTGGCGCTGCGATCGTTGAGCGACCATGGGAATGATGGGTAGTACAGACATTTGCCTAGTCTTCGTACTTGCGCCTTCGTTTATTGCTGTGTTTAGGTTTTGTTTTGAAAGAAAGATTCAACCCTTTTGAAGTTCGTGACCCAATTCGGAAAGGTAAGTCTAAAAGAATAAGGTGGTGAAGCGCAACCGCTGAACAATTGCGCATTTTTGTTTCGTGAGAAAACAGCTTCAAGCCACGCGAACGCACGCGGAGCCAAAAGCAGGCCAGAAGTATGAAGTTAAGACAAATGTGTGTACTACCCACCATTGCCATGCTTGCTGAAGCGCCATGCGTTGCAGCTCCCATAGACACTAGCACCAGAGTTCCCTCAAGTGTATATTAGAAAACTCTAAGGCTTGACGTAATTGTCTTCTCTTTTACGGAATGAGCACAGGAACGACAACTTGGAGTTTTTATTTACGGTCTTCCCCACCGTTTTATTAAAAACACAGCACGAGAATGTTGTCATACGTTAACTTACGCCATTTTTCGAGAAACAGATCACAGTCTGTGGTTTTCACGGTCAGTGCCGACGTTGAAACACGGATATTTTTTACAGTGATAATAAAACACTGTCTCACATTGACCAAGCTGCTCGCAACACTGCCGTACACTTGGTCATAGCATAGTGACGCATTGGCAATCCTGCTTTATTCGCGACTCCTTTTGGGAGGGCTTCATTGAAAAACGCATGGCCGCGACATTCTTCGAGAAATTGCTGTTGTGGTGCATATGTTTCGATGTTCGTACGAGGCATATTTTACCCGCAGTGACCACTAGAAACCTCTGTAAGCCTATGTTGTTACATATTTGAACATGCAGCTGATTCCTGGCAGCATACGGCATCCTCAAGAAGATCTGCCACCGGTGTATCCCAATGGCTGGTTTCCTATAATAGAGTCTCAAGAGCTCAAGGTGAAACAAGTAAAACGAGTTGATGTGCTTGGTAAGTTGGAGTGTATCAATATCTATTTACCACGCAGTGATGTCTCACAGAAAAAGATAACCGTATCAAGAAAAAATATTAGCGTAGCTAGCACAAATTCATGCAAAACGGAAGCCCGTATTCACAAACCACCTTCGCCATTACCTCACAATTAACTCAAGTTCCTGCACTTAAGAGCAGAGAAATGGTAACAGGCTAAAAGATAACAACACGATTGGTTATTGCATACACTGGCCTACTTTGTCGATCAATCGCAATAAAGGCTTAAAACCGATAAGGAAATCTCGGGGTAAGGTTGAGGTTAGTTTATCAATATGGGCCTGGGTCTCAGCGGAGCTGGTAGGCCAATTTTACCTTCTCTTGCTAACCATCTGCACAGAATGAGTCGGTGGCCATTCACTGCGTACGAGTTTATTATGTTGATAAATATATCTACGACACATTGCTAACCTTGACTATAACAGTTCTGCAATAATAGCTTTTGTAGTAACAACCAAAAAGAATTTCAACGATCAGGTACCACTTTTTTTCTCAATCGTTGGTTGTTATTCGTTCACACAAAATTTGATAATTTAATTAGTAGCCGTTTCCAACTAATAATTTATTCCACAGATGAGGGGAATCGTTAGTGGCATCCTTTTGATCACCAATAAACTAGACTTGAAGGTATTTTCCTGGTTCAAAACTGATTAACTGCAGTGACAGTACGCTATCTCTCTTCTCTCCCTTAGTGAACGCTCCCATGATATTTGCCGACGTTTTGAAGCCATCTTCCTGCTGACGCGCGCGGCATCGTTTTTACCAATTGCGTTGCTGTGGCATGTGCAAGCATCGCAGGCCTATTTTTTACCGCTCTTTTGATGGCATGGCAGCAGTTTTACTTCGCTACCGCAGCTTCCTAGATTCTGTTGGTTTTTTTTTTTGTTTCAATGGCAAATGATAGTTCACATACCGCGACTGACGAATGGGGCGAAGCGTTCATCAGCCCGTCCGTGCTTCCGTCCGTCCGTTCGTTCTTGCTCCGTCCATCCGTCTATGCACCCGTCCGTCTGTCGTGTGTCCATCCGCCCGTATGTCCGCGCTTCCGTCCATCTGTCCGTCCGTCTTCTAGTCTATTTGTGCCTCCATTCGTGCATCCATCTAGTGAACACGTCAAGTAAGGCAAACTCGCATTTCGCATCCCCTGTGGCACATACCTGCTCCGCGCGTCCATCCATTCGTCCGTCTGTCTGCTAGTCTGTCTGTCCATTCATCTATGCGTCCGTCCGTGCCTCTATCTAGTGAACAATCCAAGTACCACCATCTCCATCTCGCATCCCGTGGCTACGTAGGACAATGACGGAGAATGGACAGACCCACGCCCTAAAGATCTTCGCCCCTAAAAAGTACATACATACGGGCTACCTAGGAAACTATCTGTGGGGAAACCTAGGAAACTATTTGTTGAACCACTTGTAATAATAATGATTTTCGTATAGGACTAGAGCTCGTCGCCTTTCGTACCGAGGACGGCGTGGTACACGTTATGGACGCCTACTGTCCCCACCTGGGTGCTCACCTCGGTGTGATGGGCCGTGTGGTGGGAGAGTGCATCGAGTGCCCCTTCCATGGGTGGAGATTTGACGCAAAGGATGGCGTTTGTGCCCACGTGCCTTACTCCGCAAAAGGTATGCTCTTATAAGTTCTCCTAATGACGGACGCCAGCGTCCACGTTTGACTAACGTGTGAGTGTTCAGAGTTGTTATTTACTTCTACAGGATGTCCCACGTTGTATTAGCCAGAGTTTAAAAATATGCCGAAACACGTAATCATGACGCGACCAAATGCATGTTGCTAACCGTTGCCTGGAGTTAGTCCGACTATTTTTGGTGTTGTCAAATGTTGTTTACATAGATCTGTTTAATTACCTAACTTTTGAAAGGACGATCATGGATAAAAATTTCAATGGGAAAGTTGATCGGTTTGCAAAACTTCCAAATAAATAGTTTTGAACTTCATATCTGTCAAGTAATAGTGTTTTTCTGCTAACTACAAATGCCCGCGAAATACAAAAAAAATACCGCGTGTCAAACCCGCACGCGCATTAGTGCACACGATTATTCTAGTGCTCCTTAACGTTCCGCGTATGAACCACATGCTCACCTCGCACCGGTTCATGCCAGCGATAAGCGGTCACAGCGGTTATCGTTCTTGTGGCTTATAGTATAGTGTCTAGAAATATACTGCCTAGTGTGCTGAGCGCTGGCTATGAGATGGCCCCGCAGCTGATGACTGGCGGCCGCGCCCTTATGGTGCGCTGCTGTGCGAGTGGGTGCATTTGCGTTCAATCCTTGCGCTCTGCAAGCGCTGCGAAGCTTTCAGGAGGTCGAGCCGTGCGAGGCGAACTATTATTTTTCTGCATTTTGAGTGTTTATTACTTAATGCTTTATTTTATAAGAACTACTCGATCGCTTTCACAGCACTGGCCCTTTGCAATACCAAATGAAGAAGATTTCGTGGCATACATTTCGCCACCCGCTACTGCCCGCAAAAAAAAGAGGCAGATGCCACGTAACTTGGGAATCAATGCTATGCAAGGTGACTCTGTTGTAATATTTTATTAAGTGAAACATTATGAAGTGGCGCTAAATATATGTGAGAAATCGGATAGTCAACACTAGAACCAGCGTTGGCGTTTCACGAACATCTGGCTCTTCTTGGAAAGTATTTCGAAAACCTGGCGTGGCTCTGTAGTAGAATACTTGGTTTCCACGCAGATTGTTTGGCTTCGATTCCTCTGCTACGACACAAAAGCCTATTATTTGCATCCGTAGGGTCAACGTTGCCAATGCCAGCTTAACGCTCACGCATTAAAAAAGATGTGGCGAGAAGGGTTTGATGGCGTACGTGACGGGATTGTGAAATTATTCAAGCCGGGACCAGCGAGTCATATTTATCGACCCATCTTAACCGCCCACACTAATTTTGGATTACTATAAGTTAAGGGGGGGGGGGGGGGGGAGTGATCGTGAGGGCACCCAGACGTAGGTGATTCGATAGATAAATAGATAGATAGATAGATAGATAGATAGATAGATAGATAGATAGATAGATAGATAGATAGATAGATAGATAGATAGATAGATAGATAGATAGATTCTCAAAGTAGTTGCAGTACGCAAAGAAAACTAATTTTAAAAATCATTAACAGTATAACCACCAGAGTTAATTTTTAATGTGCTTTGTTCTTGAGAGCAAGAATTATCACAGAAGACTCAAAAACCTTTGCGCCTTAGCCTGCATTCCATTAGGATTCAAGTGAAAACAAAGAATGATAACTTGCCAATGAACAACCTGATACCCGACGCATATGATGCTCAAAACGTTGTTGGAAAGGAAGTCCGACGTTGAAATGGGAGAAAAACTGTGTGAATGAAATTTGAAAGCGTATTTTCAATTTTTTTAGATAAATATCGTTATTTGAAGTTATGCCCAAACGGCGATTTCATTCCCGACACCGTTCACCCAAATCAGAAAAGATAGTTCGATGGAGTCACTATCAGAATGCTTTTCTCACACGACAGCCTTCGTATTCAGGCTTGTGTCTGCCCTCTTTATCCTACTTTTTCATTCAGGAAACCGTGCTGGATCCGTTAGTACGGGGAACAAGACATTTTTTCCTTGTTCAACCAATAATATCTTGGACACAGCGGCACAATACACGTCCTTTCTTTGCATTGCTGCTTAGCTTCTAACATCTCAGGGTGTTGCAGTGTAGATATGGCGCCGTCGAACTTGACAGTAAATCAGAAGGCAGCTATCACACACTTATATTTAACGTGGTGAGGCTTCGGCAGCAACAGAACGAGAGGAAATTCGCGCGTTCGTGCCCCCTCTCGACACGCATCGCCGCTTGTGGCATCTGAGTGCAGTCATCACATGCGGGGCCACCCTCTCTCGTACGGAATGCGCGCGCTCAGCACACTAGCCAGTACATTTCTAGACACTGCACTTATAGAAAGACATGTTCATCGTAAAGCCACCACCCTCGTTTTGGCCCTGCCGATACAGCACAATGGGACAAATGCTATGGTCGTTCGTACGCAGAACGTTAGGGCGCACTAATATCACTGTGTGCACTGGCACACAAGTGGGTTTGTCACGTGATATTTTTTGCATTTCGCGGGCATTCGTAATTAGTAGAAAAACACTAACACCTAAAAGGTATAAAGTCCAAAACTGTCTAATCGGATGTTTTGCAAACCAATCCACAACATTCTCAAGAATTTTTTTATTTATCTTCGTTTCTTGAAAAGTTTGTTAAATAGACATATCTAGTTAAGCAATATTTGACAACACAAAAAATAGTCTGACTAACTCCAGGCAGCGGTGAGCGACATGCGTTTGGTTGCGTCGTAATTACACGTTTCGGAGTATTTTTCAACTCTGGCTAAAATTACGTGAGACACCCTGTCTAAAATAAGAAACAATCATCCCCGATGAGTACAACATTGCCTCCACCAGTGATTCCTTCTTTCAGTAAACTTTTTAACGCAAAACCTACAAAAGGTGAATTAAGGCGGTATATTAGGATGAGATGGTAGCAACAGATGAAAATATCTTGAAGACGGGTTGGAGCTAGCATCTTCGTCATGTCTTTTTCGAATTGCAGATTTGAAGCAAGACACTTGTCGAAACTTTGGCCTCAGTAACACCCCATGCACAAGAAATCTTCACATACACAAAAATGAAGCAGTTCAAGTCAATTGTCTTATGTAAACCTTCTTTTAGATATATTTACTGAATGTAGAGCACACTTCTTTTGGCCATCCAATCGCGTGTCTATAGCAATCAGCTCTCACTCGTCAGCACGCTGCTCGCTCTTTTCACAGTGCCAGACTTCATCAAAATAAGAACGTGGACCACGGCCGAACTTCTGGGCAACGTGTTTCTGTGGTACCATGCGGACGGGGAGGAGCCCACCTGGCAAATAGAAGACGTTGCCGAGGTGACGAGCGGCCGCTGGAAAGCGTGGACGCGATACGAGGAGACGGTCAGCTGCCACATCCGGGACTTGGCGGAGAACGAGTCAGACGTGACACACTTCGGCTACTTCCACGGGCCTAACGTGTTGCTGTCCCCGGAGGAGTTCGCTAAAAACGCAGGCGACACCACCTGGGGTCGTTTCTTCACGCATCTGTGGACGGCCAAGTGGTACACGGACGAGCACCGCTGCTGCGTCGACATCGAGGCCAAGATCCGCGTGCTGGGTCGATGTCCACGCTTGTTCGACAACGTGACATACTTGAGGCTGCAGGGACCAGCGCTGCTCATGGTGCGCGTCGAGAGCGCCTTCGGTGCCCAACTCACGGTAGTCGCTGTCACACCACTGGGTCCGTTCCGAATACGCGTGGTGCACACCATTCACTACGCACCCCACACCAACACGATCTTTCGCTGGCTCGCCAGCAACGTATACACAAAATCTGTGAGTACGCTTAGACATTCAACGAGTAGCACACCTAATAAATAATATATTTGTACTGTCAAGGAGTTCTCTGCACCCAGCGCCCAATCCTGTCTTATCTCGTTCTAAAGACGATAGTCATTTTTGGGGAACTTCCACGCGAAAATTGCCCCACCATGGTGGTCTACTGGCTAAGGCACTCCGCTGCTGACCCGCAGCTCAGAGTTGCTCAGAGTTCAGCGACGCTGACTGACGCTGAAATCTGAGCACATGGGCTCAGAGTTCAGCGTCAACATTTCGGCCTCCATTGAGGCCGAAATGTTGTAGGCCCGTGTGCTCAGATTTGGGTGCATGGTAAAGAACCCCAGGTAGTCGAAATTTCCGGAGCCCTCCACTACGGCGTCTCTCGTAATCATATGGTGGTTTTTTGGGCGTTAAATCCAACATATCAATCAACGCAAAAATTTTGGTCTATCAGTCTGTCTATACGTTTGTCTGTTTGTCCGCCCTTAACGGTACCGGGTACCCTAAACGGCACCAGACGATGCCCCAAACGGCCAACCCCAGCAGCGCCCACCAATATTGCTCAAGAGTTCAGCGTTCATACTTGTGCGATTGTCACTTAAAACGCGATTGTTGCCCACATCTGAGGCATTATAACAACACGTCAACAGTTTGTACGTGTTTTTACTTACTAGAAAAGACATACATAAGTAATTCCAATGACCGCATCGTTTATCAAGCTATGCTGGCCATGCAGCGCTTGCACAAAAGGGCAAGTGTTTCCGACGCTTTGCTAAGACGACACGGTAGTGGCGCCTACTTGTCGCCTTGCGTTCTACACCTTATCAGCACTGTGACGGGCGTGCCCGCCGTGCGCTTCGTTTTCCAAGATAACTGCCAGATAGCGCTCATGTTTCACGCGTGACGTGACTTGATGCGCTCGTTCGCTTCCGCTGCACGCCCGAGGCACTCTAACGTAGCGCCTCCAGAATACCATTCACCAATTTTCTTGCGCAGAACATCAAATAAACGTTTTGTTCACTCTCTCCAGAAGCAAGACTGTACTCTTTCGACGACATTTGCAGTGCACATGCATATACGGGGCCAATTTTTTTCTTGTGTATTCTGTATTGTGTATCTTGTGTATTGTGTATCTTGTGTATATCTTGTGTATCTTGTGTATTGTGTACCTTGTGTCTTGTGTATCTTGTGTATCTTGTGTATTCTGTATTGTGCACCACAAATATTTTGTCGGGCTAAAAGCCAACTAACATAGCGTTGCACTCTGCGAAACGAAATTTAATTATTTAGTTATTTGTTTTTCAACACCAACAGTAAATATCTGCCCAAAAAGTTGGTGTTTCCTGAAATGCAGTTGTAAAAGATTAATATTAAGTCATTTTGATGGGAACAGAAGTGACTACTTGTACAGTCCTATCATCTTCGTGAGTTCCTATTCTCATAAACGTGTTCAGTTAGGAAAACAGGAACTTGCAAAGTTGATAGGACTGGACAAGTAAAAAGGCATAATACCATAGTATATTAGCTGCTCAAAAGCGCACAATTTATTCATTGGGAGTGGAATATGTTTCATTTGATAATGCACGCTATGCGCCTGCTCGAAAAGTGATACTGTGAAGCAACCAACATAGCTATTCTTCAGCGTTATGATTAGTAAGTGCCCTCAAGTTCATCGGTTTATAGCCTTCGTACTCGTAAACTCAGAAGCTCGAGAAGTGGAATATACAACTTCAAGTAGTCAATAACCGAACCTAATGCGAATCAAACTATAGGTACTTAAAATAGTGTAGCACAAACGTATGATCTATACTCATTGTAGTCTTTATATTTATTATTACAATTCATACTAATATTGTCATCTATTGTGCCAATCTGTTGTCTAAGAATACTGAAACGGTTTTTCAATGAAGGTATTTACGGCTAGAAAATTTTGCCATTTCTGTAAAAAAACCATGAGCACACGTCAGTGCAACAGTATTTTGCGCCTACCACTGTACTCACCACCGATGCATCTTAATGAAGGGAACATACGCATGCTGCTCAAATGACTGCTCATAATCACATGTGAAAAGCCAAGTGCATGCGGCAAGTCTGACAAGATGAAGCATATCACAGAAAAAAGGCTGCTCAAATATAAGACGTTAAATAAGCATGCGCTAAATTCAACGTATGCTTCCTGCACAGATGCCTCAGATCTATTTGCACGTTTTTTTTTTATTGAATACAGCGCGAACTTGATACCCGTGTGTGGCGTGCTCACTAGCCTAACTTGTCATCTACCGTCACAGAGTGGAAAGATTCCTCGTATTTAGAAAGTTTATTTCTGTAAGCGCATATAAGCTACCCAATCATTCCACTCACAGCTCAAGCAAATCGCTTAATATGAAGGGATCTATGGGAAAGTTTTATATTTATGTTACCTTCCTTCTTAGAAATGCTTTTCCTGCAGAAACTCACCGATCGATCACGTTAATTGAAAATCTGCAATTGGGACTAAGCTCTTATTCCGGTGGCCGAGTCCGACAGCATGTGGTTGAGCTCTGCACTTCTTATTTTGTTCCCCAGTAATTATTATTTGTTCTCCGCATCGTCATGCACAAAAAATTGAGGTGAGAAAAAGAAAACTCTCTAGCAATGGCCACCGGTAACTCATTCTACCGTTACTGGGTAGCGTGAGGGGGGGGGGGGTTCTTTTTTAGCTTGATGGGTCACCAGAAACATGCGGATTTCAGCATCGATCAGGTACTGGCAGCCCAAATTGGTACTCTAGAAAACGCTCGCTGGTTGCTTGCTCAGGCACATGACGTTTCAGCTAGACATCTCACCGAAGTGGAGCTCATGAAGTACCAAGGGCATGTTTCTAGCGTTAAAAAAAACCGCAAGATCAACATAAGGTCACGCAGCTCGCGTCCACCTCAAGCACATTGCAACAGAAGAACATGAGGTTCATTGTTCACTGGAGGTTCATAAGAATAGATATTTGAGCCAGTTGGTACGCGTTCTTCTCTGTAGTTAACGTAGTGCACACGGAGGATGAAGAATAAAAAAGACAGGACGTCACCTGTCTTGTGCTTCTTATTCATCGTCCTCGTCCTGACAGCACTGCATCAAACAAAGATAGACGTTACTAAGTAGAGTACGTAATCACGTCACGAAATCTCTCTCAGGAGATTATTTCTCATTAATACAACTATTCGTGACGTGTGTTATTGCGAACAGAATTTGTTCAGGACTAAATAAAAACTTTCTCGTTACTTGATTGAGAGAACTAAATCTATCGGTCACGCGAATAACTTCTCAGAAAAAGAGCTGGCTGAAAACTTTTCGTCTATACGTGGGACTTCCTGTAGCGATGCGCACGTTTGAAGCTTCGAAGTTACACGCAAAGCCTAATTCGTTGTGTTAATGATCAATTAGTTTCTAAAGAAGTCATTAGGACCGTTTAGGGCGCTTTGCAGTTGTTTCATTGGTTATAGTGAAGTTAAGCGTTCGTAGTCACCGATTGTCGAATTTAAATTATACTACTTACGAAACCTTGGATATATTTAGAAAGCTTCCGCACATATTTGCATTGATCTGCATCTATAGTAAAAGTTCTAAAGCACATCACATGCATCGAAAAAAGTACACACGTTTCATGGTGACCCGAAATATCAATTTAAAAAATCGGGACCCATATCCCTCCGAGGGTAGAGACTAGTGAGAAAGAGAGAGAGAGAAGTAAACGTTTATTTTGAAACAGTGCCGCGAGCAATGCCCGGTGTCACCCTGAGGTGGGAGGGCTCCTTAGTCCAGGAACCCTATTGCTTCTACTGCCCTCTTGGCCCTGGCGACGAGTTGTTGTTGATCTTCCAGGACCTCGAGGGCGAGCTTCGCCTCCCACGTTTCGGTTAGGTCTTCGTCGTCCGTCCTGCTTCGTTATCAGTCGTGTGTTGTTGCAGGTTACGTCTGGCAATACACTGGCATGCAAGAAGCAAGTGCGCCAGGGTGTCCGGTACGTTGCAAAGCGGGCACATAGAGCTATATCTCGTTGGGTAGAGACGGTGCATTAGGGCCCCATGTGTGTATGTGCTGCTTTGCAGGCGTCTCAGTATTACGCGAAAGAGAAATATTTATTGTGGTAGAAAAGCTGAAGCGTTCAAGAAGAATGGCGATTTGGGCTAGTTGGTTTGAATTCATGATAAAAAGGATTACAGCGCGAGCATGAATGTGCTAGAAGAAACAGACGAAAGTCGAGGTACGGAAAGCAAAGAGGACAACACGAGCGCTGCCTTCCTCTTTGCTTTCCGTACCTCGACTTTCGTCTGTTTCTTCTAGCACATTCGTGCTCGCGCTGCAACCCTTATTATCATGGAGCGTTCACATGAACCCGTTTTCGGGCCTGCTTCTCGGTGTTAGGAAACGGAATAGCTGCTTATCTCACGACACTGAGAGGACAAACAATTTCATATCATAGTCTATCACACACCCAGCAACTAATTACACAACATGGGTACGGAGAGTTCCTTTTGAGTTTAGCCTATGTCTTTCAAAGTTTCCCACGGGAGCAACACACAGCTTTTTCACGAGATTCGTCGTTGCAAGTACTTACGTAACTTTTCATGCAGAATCCTTTAGAAGGCAACTTCTTGCTTGACCTTTAGTTCGTGGCTGTTACCCTCTACGTGGGATTGGCCCTGAAACCAATGTATAATAAAAGGAGGAAGATTTACAATAGAGACGAAAAATGTGGAATTAGTTGGTCGTTTATCATATAAAAAATTAAGCATGGTTGGGTTACATAGCAATAAAGGTAGAAACAGCATACTAATATGAAACGCAATAACCCAGGGAGAGCTTCCAATTTCGCAAGCAGGGAAAAAATTCAAACAACCAAGGAATCACAGTCAACCAGGGAAAATTTTCGCATTTGTCTAAGCATACCTTCTTGTTGCTTTGGTCCAATGAAGACACAGTTTGAACAGCATACGTGTAATACCTTCTTCCTTTTAGCTCAC